CGGTCCCGCATGGGGATCCTCCCGACCGCATCACGCAGGATTTTGGCAGTTTGGAACGCAAAGCATTTAGGAGTGGTGTTGGTCCGACCGAGTGCGCCAGCTATACCTCTCACGAACCCCTATGACAGGATAGGGTCACACGAGGTACAACTTACCTCTACCTATGAGAGTTGCCAACATCCCTTAGGTGGGCGTATCCCCGCTAAGTTACTAGTCCACATGCAAGAGCTTTTACATGCAGTTGCAAAGGTGGATCAGGTGTTTCTCATTTGCTGTAGCATAGGGGTTACATAAGGTTAACGCCCGAATCGGACCCGTGTGCGAATCGACGCTTGAGGCGTTGATATCCCAAGCGCGATCATACGCCGGTCGACTAGGACGACTTGGCTAACCATGCGATACACTTCTCAAAGAAACAGCAAAGGTGGATCGGGTGTTTCTCATTAGCTGTAGCATAGGGGTTACACGCCATTAACGTCTGAATCGGACCCGTGCACGAATCGACGCTTGAGGTGTTGATCTCCCAAGCGTGATCCTACGCCGATCGACTAGGACGACTTGTCTAACCATGCTATACACTTCTCAAAGAAAACTTGAGTGGATGTGCAAATCGTGCTTAGCCCCTTTTTCCGCACAACCCGTAACTGTTTCGGTGCATGAACATGCAGACATAGCGAGAAAGACTTTGTACAAATAAAGCGACGACGAGAGCCTCATCATATCTACTAACCATGCACAAATACGTAAGCAGTTGCAATGATGGCGTACTATGTGGTGCCCATGACCGCACGGTTCTCAATTGTTTAGAGGATCGCGGTCGACACTCAAGTGTTGGCTGGTACGTGCCTTGAGGGGTTCTTCCTCTTACGCCAGACAATCGCGGATGCGGTTGCGCGTCCTACCCACTTCTGCGCCCTGCGCAGAGGAGTGGTAGGGGTCACTTGTGGACAACAGGCCGTGTGCCGCGACCAGCGACACCCCGATTTTCTTATCCAGAACGTCCACATCTCACGAAACAATTTTCAACAAGGAATCTAAGTTGTCACTCACGGGTGTGTGCGGGATGACTCGCGTAAGCGTGCAACTGCGCGCGCACTAAAACATATGAATCATTGTGGGTCACGCGCATAAATGTGTTCGCATGTGCCCTTGACCATAATGGTCGCGCAAAAACAAACTGGTTGAATCACTCAGAGATAAAGTTGTTTGACATCAGAGAATCACTCTCACAGTCATTGATGTGGCTTGTCCATCAACACTTTCACAAACTCAAACAATCATCGCAACTCAAACCATCACCTTCCACGCATATCTGCGACCACACAAATTGAACAACAACATGCAATGCACTAACGAAATCAACTAACCATTCTCAGCGACTCATACCCCGCCTTACACACGCAATCCCCAACCATTTTCCACCATCCAACAACAAAGATACTCTGTTTTTGAAAATGGCCATTTAGAAAGAAGTCTGGGTGAAAATCCCAAGAAGCATATTAAACCCAAAGGGCTAAGGCTTTAGGTTGAGATGTAGAAGCGAGTAGGGTCGTGTTATAAACCGACCCGTTATCAAATGATATAACAAAAGATGGGGGATCGTTGATGGATCAGGCCTAAAGTAGTCGAGCCTTCAGTCAAGTGCAAACATGCATCGCAATATAGGCCAAAAAGGCCATCGCTACGCTTAAAATGGATGGAGAGCATACTCCATATCGTAGCCGAACTAATCTCCTTCTTTTCACCTTTCTCTAATTGGTACCAAAGATTGTTGAAAATTTTGGCAGCATCCCCCTTAGATAGGGCAGATTGCCAAAATCTTCACCATCAAAAATTTGACTAACTCCTTAAATTTATAGAAATTTTGGCAACACTTCCTCTAGGAAAGTGAACTACCAAAATTTATACTAAGCCAAATCTAAAATCCAAAGTGTCATTAAACTCTTGCATGGGCAAGTTTTGTCTAACTCCTTAATTTAGCAAAAAAATCGGCAACACTTCCTCTAGGAAAGTAGACTACTGAGATTTTTACTGAGTCCAACTCCTTTGAAGTAGTAAAAAAATCGGCAGCACTTCCTTCAGGGAAGTAGACTACCAAAATTTATACTCAGACAATTACAAAAAGCCCAATGCAACTATACTGGTATAATTCTTGACACTTAACTAAGGTGTTAGAGCTAGAGATTGATCTCATGATACTTCTTCTAAAATAGTATCATGAATTAACTACTCTGATTCTCAGCAAGGCCACCCTATCTTATCCCAAGCTTCCATCTTTATCCATCATTATTCTGCCTATCACTCCATGCCCCCAAAAGACAAACTCACAGAACACACAAGTGAGCATAACATCATCTCTCGTCAACCCTCAATCTCCTTACCAAAATACTTCATTCATTCAACTCTCAGTAGATTACCCCTATACCCTTCCTTACATAAGGCATAGGATTAGATTGCCCCCAACTTATGGGTTTGTCTGACTTGCCCAACATATATGACTGAACCATGCCAACTTATGGGTACACCTAGTCTGTTTAAACGATAAGCATAAGGCATATGACTAGGCCGCACCGACCTATGGTGCGGCTAGCCTCTACCCTGACAACTGACATAAGGCATATGGCTAGGCCACACCAACTTATGGTGAGGCTAGTCATCCTCAACGATCAGCATATGGCAAAAACTGGACTGCCCCAACTAAAGGGGATGCCCAATCCCTGCCTGAACAAGGACATGAGGCATATGACTAGGCCGCACCAACTTATGGTGTGTCTAGCCCAGACAATCACATATGGCATAGGATCAGGCTACCCAACTTATGGGTAGTCCAACCTGCATGGACAACAACATATGCGCACGAGTAGATTTCCCCAACTTATGGATATGTCTAGTCTTCGCAACACAACAACATTCAACAAGTAATCTCACAAACTTCCTTCTTTCTTCCAGACAAATGATCAGACCGCTCCAACTTATGGAAATGTCCAACCATGCCTTGATTATCTTTCATAGTCAGAGACTCAGAGTTATACTATTTTTCTACTATTCCTGTTATTACGGGCATATGACTGGACCTTCCAAGTTATGGATAAGTTCAACCTGCCAGAAGTTACATTTCAATATTATATTTTGAGTTTCACTTATTCTGCCTTCTTCTACGAGTAGATCTCCCAACTTATGGCGCCTAGTCTGCCAAGTGATATACATGATATGTATATATATGTATCAGATTTTATGCTTCAGTTCCCTTTAATGTTCATGGCTCATTACTTGGCCGCACCGACTTATGGTGCAACTAGTCTCTGCCTGTGTTTTCCTCAGAAATAAGCACAGAACGGGACCCACGCATTTAGAATGTGCCCAGTTCTGTCCAAAAACAAAGGAAAACAGGGAATCTGGGAGCCCATCCTCTGTTCAAAAACCCTAAGAAAAACAAGCGATCGAACCATATAAGTTATGGATAGGTCCAACCTCTGAAGACCAAGCAGACTCCCCAGTGTACAAAATTAGAACATAGCACTTAACCCACACGCTCAGAATGGGTTTAGCCTTTGGTTGACCTGTCAAACACAAGCAAATCAACCCTTCATCCCTTTTGTCACCCTTCCCCCACACATTCTCTCTGGCTTCAAGCATGTAGTCTGAACTTCACACATACTTAATTTAATTACCTTCAGATTAAGTCCTGATGAGTTGGTAAACCTGAGGGCTAGGAAAGAGACATAGAGGGAGCCATCAACAAAGGAGTCGGGCGAAAGCATGGAGGAATCCGACAGTTCCACAAGAGAAGCAATGGAAGTTTCATGGGTGGAGGCCACAAAAGGAGGCAACCAAGTGGGCAGGGGGGTCAGCAAGGGAAGCACGGGTCAGATGAGAGAAGCAATGGAAGTTTCATGCACAGAGGCCACAGAAGGTGGCAACCAAGTGGGCAGGGGGTCAACGAGAGAAGCAAGGGTCAGGACGAGGATGTGGAGGGACAAGTTGGAGAGTCGGCAAATCCATCCGTCAACACCTGTCCAATAGAGGAGGAAGGTGAGAGAGATTCAGAGGAAGAGTCAAACGATGAGGGGTGGGAGGACGATAAAGACGAGGATCAGGACACATTGTAGAAATGATGACGAAGGGGTGTGCTCATTATCACGTAGACTGGAACTTGTCGCAAAGAGACCCACGAGTGGCACACCGAGGGAAGATGGCGACTCGGACTTCGAGGACGGGAAATGCATATCTGCTTGTATAACCAGGAAACCTGGTTCTTGTTTTTTCGGCAGAATCAATGGGGTTGTCCTGTGGGGTGGAATGAAATTACTAACGAGGCTGGTAGTAGGTTCATTTTTTTTTTTCCCGGTGGGTTCGGTTAAGTCTACTGAGGGGGTTAAATTGGCGTATCGTTTGGATTTTTTTTGGGGGGGTTCTGCTCTCAGACAGCCAAGGGGGCTAAATTGGCCTACCATCTGGGGCAAAAAAAAAGGCTCTAGGCTTGGTGTTGTCGTAGCTAGTTCTTTAGCAGGCCAGCACCTGAAAGTTGTCGCATACCGTAAAGGTGCAGACCAGAACAAGAACCGACCTCTCTCACAAAGTACAAGATAACAAGAACCGAACAATCAATGTCGCAATGTAGCCCAAACATACATCATCATCATTCCATGGTGTGAAGGGGCCTGTCGCTCACACAGGAAGAATGCGCCAATCCCCAACCATACATAGACGAAGAAGAGGGGGTTAGACGAAGAAGAGGGGAAGATGGGAATGTCGTCAACACCAAGTCTTCGGCGCTGGCCCCAAATAATCCCTCGTCAAATGTCTGAATCTCAATGTCGAATCTGGATCCAATGTCGTCAAGTCCCAAAGTCACCAAACTCTCTCTCTCGCAGTCTGCAGGTACTGAGAAGTTAGGTAGCGAGAGGGGGAGGAGGAGATGGTGGACTTGGAAGAGGAAGAAGAAGAACTCTCTCTCTCTCAGTCCAGTACTAACTTGTGAAGGTGGCGCCTTGTTGCAGGTACATCGAAGACGAAGCTGGAGCTATGGCGCCACAGGTAAGTCTCCCTGGCCTCCACCAACCATCTCTCTCTCTCCACTACTACTCTAGCCCCTAATAGCGGCCAACGTTGAAGACTACTGCTAACGCTACTACTACTACTGCAGCGCTCCTCCAGAGTGCTGCTGCCGAATACTGAAGACTGCCTCCTGCCTCCTGCACGTGAAGTGCCTGGGAAGTTCCTAGGAACTACCTCGTGACTGTCTGCAGCCTGTACGGCGAGCCAGTCTTATATAGTCCTGGCCCGTCCAGGAGGCTGCTCTTGCCAATGCCAAAACGTGCCAGACCCTGGCGTTGAAGTTCAACCAAGGGTTGTCTTGAAAACAGGCCAGAATGGCCTGTGCTAAAACCCTGGTCTGGTGCCTAAGTTTCAGGGTAGGTCGATCTTATGAGGGCCTGAAAATGGCCCTCCGTTTCAGGCTGAAAAGACTCAGGGCCTGGAAGGCCCGTTTTTAGGCTGAAACAACATAGGGCCTAAAAGCCCCGCTTTTCAGGCTTTCAGGCTGAAACGACACAGGGCCTGTAAGCCCTTGTTTTCCGGCTTTTAGGCTGAAAACGCTGGTCGGGCCCTGCAGGCCCGTGTGGCTGTGCAGTATGCCACACCCCCCTCTCCTTGAAAGACCGAGCTTACCTGCGAGGGCGAAGCTGTCTGTCTGAGGGAGGGACCACAGTCCAGGTGGGAGGGGCATGTCGTGAAGTTCCCTGAGCTAACCTTTGTCGCTCGTAGTGAGCGTAGATCAGCGGTGCGGATGCTTTCAAATCTGCTCCTGAAATCCATCGAGTGTCGTCGGGATCGCACACTTTGAATGTAACTTCGTACTGTCGAGGCTTGCTGCCGTACTTGCGATCCATGATGACGCGGTCAACTTCCTGACGACCATCCATAGATGGAGGATTTTGCGATCGTCGGCCTGGGAAGTCATCGCTCTTAGCTGGTGTATATGTCGCCAGCTTCGAGGCGTGAAAGACTGGATGGACCGTCAAATGCGGGGGGATGTTGATCACAAATGAGGGGCCATCGTGCTCATTGCCCGCGGCTGATGTTACGGGCCATGGTCCAAACCACTTGGGGAGTAGTTTGCACGAAACATCCTGCTCGAGTGCAAACTCTTCTACGGAGACCCAAACCAGATCATCGGCACGAATGGGACATGGCATGCGACGCCTGTTGGCTTGCTGTTGCATGGGAACTTGAGCCTTTTGCATGTTCTCGTGGGCTTGAGCCAACAATTCCCTGTACTTCCGAATAGAAGCGGGGTAGCAAGCAGCGTCTATGTCGGCTGTTCGTGGAAGGAGAAGATCAACGAAGATACGGCCTTTCCGGCCACCGCGGTGCAACTCGAATGGAGTCACACCGATCGCCGGGTGCAACGAAGTGTTGTAGGCGAACTCGATGTCGGGGAGGTGGGCAACCCAATCTTTCTGATCGGGACGGATGAGCGTACAAAGGATCATTTGAGCGGTTTGATATCCCCGCTCCGTTTGCCCGTCCGTTTGTGGATGTCAAGTCGAACTTGGTTTCATCTTCGTGCCGGATTCGTGCATGAGAGAAGTCCAAAATGCCGACATGAAGCGAGTGTCGCGGTCCTTGACGATGTCTTCCGGTACGTCGTGGCTGCAAATCCAGCCGGTGTGCAAGAGACGCGCAAGTTCGGGAGCCGTGGCGTAGTACTTGCAAGGGAGAAACCGCGCATACTTACTCAAACGGTCAACGACCGTGAGGATGTCGTCGTGCCCGAGGCGGTCGCGGGGAAACGGTCCCGTGACGTCCATGGCAATGGAGAGGCCGGGTTCCCGTGGGATAGGCATCGGGCACAACTCGCCATAGGGATTGCGGTTGCGGGGCTTGCTTCGTCTGCAAACTTCGCAAGAGTCGCAATACCGAGTGACTTCGGTAATGAGGTCGGGTCATCGGAATCGTTGCCGAAGTCGTGCAATAGTGCGATTGACTCCGAAATGGGCGGCGAGTCGCGAGTCATGGTACTCGCCGAGAAGGCGAGTCCGAAGACGACGGTCTCGTGGGACACATAATAAGTCCTTGCCTTGCGAGTGGAGGAGCAAGTACCCGTCGACGATGCGATAGTGGCTGGCCGGCGGGTGATCCGAAGATAGTGGCGCATACAACATGGCGAAATCCGGGTCGGACTCATAGCCCCGGATGAAGTGTCGCTGGAGTTCCTCGTCAAACGCGAAGGCATGATGTGTCATAGCGCAAGGATCGGGTCTTCGTGAGAGTGCATCTGCTGCGCGATTGGAGAGGCCGGCGAGATGTTTCAGTGTGAGTCAAATTGGTCGATGAAGTACATCCATCGATCGATCGTGCTACTCGCCGTATCCTGCGTCTTGTAGTAGGTCAATGGGTTGTTGTCCGTGACCCATGTGAACCTACGACGCCCAAGGAGGAAGTGCCGCCATCGCTTGAGAGCCATCACGAACGCGCGCAGCTCCTTCTTCCTTGCATCATCAAGTGAATTGATGGGAGGCACTTTGTGGCTGAAATACTCCACGGGGTGCCAGTCGTCGCCGCCGTGTTGTTCCAAGACTGCCCCAATGCCATAGTCGGAAGCGTCAATTGTCACTCTCGTTGGCAGGGTGGGGTCGTAGATGCTAAGGACGGGTGCCATGAGCATGGTCGTCTTGAGTGCTTGGAATGACCGTCATGCATCGTCATCGAATACGAATGGCACCTTTGGTGATTGTAATCTCGTCATAGGTGCGGCAATCCTTGAGTACCCGGTGATGAAGCATTGATAGTAGCCCGCCAACCCCATGAATGAGCGAACGTGCGTGGTGTTGGTGGGCTCGGGGCATATGCGGATGGCCTCGATCTTGTCCACAAGCGGACGGATGCCTTGCGGCATCACATATGTCCAAAGTACTCCAGCTCTTACCGCGCGAATTCGCATTTGTCGCGGTTGGCTTTGTACTTGGTTTGTCGTAGCCACTCCAAAACAGTGCGCACGTGCTCCACATGCTCGTCCAAACGCCGACTGTACACCAAGATGTCGTCAAGGTAGATGAGTACGAATCTATCTAGCATGTGTCGGAACTGTGTTGTCATAGCCGCTTGGAATGTGGCCGGGGCATTCGTAAGATCAAAAGGCATAACCAGCCATTCGAAATGCCCATATCGCGTCTTAAACTCGATCTTGTAGCGGTCCTCCTACCGGATCTCGAGTTGGTGATATCCCGATTTGAGGTCAAGCTTGAAGAAGAATTTGGCACCGCCCAGCCATTCAAGGAGGTCGTCGATGCGCGGAAGAGGGCCGACGTTCTTGACGGTTTGCGCGTTGAGCTTGCGATAATCGATGCACAACTGCAAATCTTTGTTCTTCTTCCGGACGAAGAGAACGGGAGCACCGTATGGCGAAGAGCTAGGCCGAATCCAGCCTTTCTCGAGAAGGTCGTCGAGTTGTGCCCGTAACACACTTAACTCTTCCTCGCTCATGCGGTAGATGCAACCACGCGGAGGTACGGCACCGGCCTCGAGGATGATCTCGTGGCGGATGGGCCGATCCAGTACTACTCCGTGCGGGGCTTCGAACACGTTGCCGTAGGCGTCGAGAAACTCGGTGATGCATGGGTCCGGTGACGAGTCCGTCGATGGAATGTCATGGGGCGGGAGGGCATGGAGAGAACACACTTCCATCTCCTCGATGTCATCCCTGATGATGGAAGCTCGAATGGTTGCGGCGGACACCACGTGGCAGCTGATTGAAGTCTGAGGAGGAGGCACCGTGCATGGGACTAGTACTCCGTTCTGATCACGAATGTGAACGGTGCGGCAGTAGAAGTTCACCGGGTGATCCTCGCTTCGCAGCCATGACATGCCCAAGATCATGTCGAATTGAGTGTCCAAAATGTTGAAGGACACAACCTCGCTTGCATGCGGGGCGAAGTACACGGGGACGGAATCGATGCATCGGTCGATTGACTTGTGCGTTTGACCGTCGGCCAAAATGACTTGCGTAGGGTGCGACTTCCTCTGAACGCGTGGCCGAAGGCCAGCGCGTACCATAAAGTCTTGGCTCATGTAGTTGCGAGTAGCTCCGCAATCGATCAAAGCGCTGCAGGTCGCCTCTCCGATTTGAATGCGTTTGTATAACAATGGCGCGTCGATGTCGTCGTACCGTTATGTCTTGAACTCGCGGTCAATCTTCGCAACGTAGTCGTGAAGGTCGACAACCTCTACTCGGGCGTCCATCAACGGAGTTGGTACTGCAGTGTGCAAGTAATCCCGCAATTGTGCCATGAGCACGTTGCAATGCGATTTCGACAATCGACCGGACGGGGGAAGGGGCATCCATTGGAAGTCCACAAACGTCAACGGGTCGAGCTCTTCAAGTCTTGACCATGACGTCGAATCCCCGAGGATAGATGGCGGCGAAGCTGCTGAATCGGTTGCCGATGGTGGTGAAACCGTGCATGCGGTGGATTGTTGCTGGTGGAGTGGTTGGTCCAACGGTAGGACCAAGTGGACAGCATAATCCTCATAAGTGAACTGAGGACTTGCGACATTCGCATCCTCCCCAGATGTGTAGGAGGCCGCTAGCAAGGCGGCCGAATCTGGCGAAGTGAGAGGTGGAGTCACCTCACCTCCCGCGCAACTCAGTTTCCCGAGTTGATGCGAGGCCGAACATCCTCCTTGCTCTGATCCAGGCATTGGGAGGTCTTGTGCTTGGTGCTGTTGCACCAATAGCAGCAGCCATACCGGCTGCGCCACTTGTATTCGGCCTCGATAAAGTGAAACTTGACCCATGGTGCTGGCTGTCCGTTTCCGGCCGACGATGCGGTTTTCGCCTTCCCTTTTCCTCGGGAGTTGTTGTTGCTTCACGGCTGGACAGCGGCCACCTGATCTCCCTCACGTGATGCTTGGGTGGCTGCCGGGTCTTCCGCAATGTTGTCCGGTTGGACTGCAGCGACTTGCTGCGGACGCGGACCAAATTTTCCATTCTCCACATAGGTTGGCTGCCATGTTGACTTCTCGTGTGCAGCCGCCCTGTTGGTCTTGATGATCACCCTTGCCTTGTCGATGATTTCGGTGAAGGTCGTGTATTGCTCGCGGTCACCAAGTGCGAGGCTCAAGGCCGCACATGACCGGTTGTAGAACTCTCGGCGTAGATGCGAAAATGGCAACTCGAGATCGGGCGTTGCAACGATCTTTTGCCATTCCGTGAGCCAGTCACGCGTTGGTGTGTTGCCTTGAGTCATGCTGAAGAGGCGGTTGATGGCGAGCGTTGGGGCGTCGTCCATGATGAACCACTTCTTCCATAGCTTCGTCAACTCGTCCCAAGAGATCTTCTTATGTAGATCGGCGACCTGGACGCCGTGGATGGTTGCCAGGTGGCTGAGCCATATCTGGCATCCGCCCTTTGAGTTGAGGAACAACGCGCCGATGTACGAGTGCTCGGGGACGAAAAGAATTCGAAGTTCCATCGTAAAGCCCTCCCACCAGGGGACCGGGTCTTGATGCGTATAATCATCGAACTTTTCGATGCGGAATGTCGGCATCTTGTAGTGCTGCACACTGGTGTTGCCATCCTTGTTGGGAAGCTGGTGCAGTTGCTGAACCTCGGTCTTCCAGGTGTCCAGCTGCTTGCTGATGGTGGCTGGTGCAGCGAAGGTGCTGATGTCGCCGAGCATTGCGACTACGTGGTCAACTCGTTCCTCCAATTGGCGGGTAGAGGGTGCACTGCTGGACTCGCCAACATCTGGTCTTGGTGCAACTCGATCCAAGTCCTGTACACGGGAATCAAGTGCCCGTGTAGCATCCTCGTGCAGATCCTTGTGGTTCCGCACCGCCCGTCGGAGATTTGCCAGCTCGGACTGCAGGTGGTTACAAGTGTAAACCAACCGGGTCACGAGTTTGGCAAGAAACTCCTTGTGCTGCTCTTCCGGTGTCGCGTCTTTGTGCTGCTTGGATGGTTCAAAATGCCAGAACTTGAGCTTTTCGATGCTGGCGGCTTCATGCTGCTGTAGCAGATCATGGGCCTCCTTGTGGCGTGCCTGGGTATCTGCTTCTGCTTCGGCCTGAAGCCTCTGCTTTTCAGCTGCTGCCGCCGCTTCAGCTTGTAGGCGGGCAGCCTCAGCTGCCGCCTGACGCTGTTCCTCAACCTCGATCAGTGCGAGCTGAGCTTCGAACCGCTGTCGGTACTCAGCAATGGACTCATTGGCAAGTTGGCTTGGCATGCCCAGAACTGAGACCGTCATGGTGGCGGGGACTGTTGCTGACGTGGTACTGCTGACGTGGCACTGTTGCTGACGTGGCACTGCTGACATGGCACTGTACCAAACCGGGAATGCAGGCAAAGGGTTGGGTGGGAGGGAAATCGCAGGTAGGTAACCAACCAAGCTATACTTTCCTCCCAGTCCTAATCAACAAAATAAAATAAAATAAAAAAATAAAAGAAGAGGATCCCCCCCCCCCCCTT